TTTATTTAGGATTTGGGGACCCGGAGAGGGTCAACTCGGGTAAACCCTTGCAACAAGCCCCGCGCCCCGTGCGGCTGGCAAGTAGCCGGCCGAGTGAAAGTATTCCACTTGTAGATAGGTTTATGACTTACAACCTCCAGGGCATTGCTAAACACAGAGGCTTTCGCTTCCATTTCTTGATGGTGTTTTATGACTTCCTAGTGCAGCCCGGATTTCAGGGCAATCCAGTGCAAACGACTGGCAAGTAATGGAGGACGCTTGCTCCTGTCTCTGGGCGAGGGTACATGGCTGAGTAGCTGCTCATGTCACGCGTGGGTGAGATTTTTGGCTCATCCGTGTTGGGACGTTTTCAGTGGCGTGAAATAGAAAAATAGCTCTGGGGTGTCAGGTCAAGAATATCCTAGACGTTGACGTGTTATCGGAAATCTCCTCTATTAAACCCCCCACCCCCACGGGCTGATTATTTGAAAGCATAGGTGCTCAGCGCTGCCCGAGGTTTTGAAGACGCGGCCGCTTTGCAGACTTAATCTAACGATCGTGATGGACTAGCGGGGCTGGGGGGTCGATCCCCCCTTATAGGCAAAGTTTCCATTGAAAAAGTGTTCGACTACGCAGGGTTGGGCCCAGTCCCATTAAAACAGAGCGCTCCTCAATGAGATTTCTACTAACACAAAGTCCGAAAGGAGATCGCCAGGGAATAGGGTGGTGTCAAGACCCTTTCTTTAAAGTGTATAATGGAAAAGGGCGAAATCCTAAGAATCAGCCCTTCAGTGAAGTTAGCAAAAAAAAATTAGAGGGGAATCGGGGAAGGGTTTGATAAGACTGCTCGTGCAGACAAATGAAAGTGAAAAAGATAAAGATAAAGGGAAACACTAAGGCCCAGTGAAATGTTTCCTCTTTAAAAATAGCTTGGGTTTTTGGATTGGGCGGATATTTTCCCCCTGCACCTGGGAGATATTTACTTTTCACCTAGCGATTTTTCGACTGGGTGATAAAATTGGATGCTTGTAAATTCGGTTCCATGAAAATGGACATTTAAGGGAAATCCGAAGTAGGTTCGGAGCTGAGACGGAATTGTTTTCTAGGTAATAGTCTCCCGCTCCGCGCCATATAGATGAGATTCTTTTAGAATAATTGGTCTAGTAAGAGATTTTAGATGTTTTTCGTTGTCACACCAACGATGTTACGGTTGCCGTTTTGAATCCACTTTTCGTGTACACAAAATCAGTGCGGCTCATCTCCAACAAATAGGAGGATTATCAAATAATCTGCCCCCCCCTCCATGTCTCAGTTAATAGACCGGGGAACTGAAAAACTGCTGACTGGAATGACAATATACAATAATTTCTAACATAATATAAAGTAATGCCTTAATCTGAAAACCGCAGGTCAAAGATGTAACAGGATTCTGTAACTTCTCTCTGCACATATTTTACCACATCCAAAGATAATAAGATTTCAATATGAGAATCGACCCCTCAGGCTATGTACAGGGCAATTATATATAAACCTAGTGCACCACCTTTGCATTGATGGGGTTATGCAACCAGAACTGCGTTCCCTACTTGTTCACTGCCTCTTCCAGTGACACTGCTGGTTTGTTTTTGAGAAAGGGCTCAACATTCCCCGACGCTTTGTGACTTTCAGGGGCGCTCGCCTGGGTCTCACGTTGGACACACACCTGGAAGCAACTTGGCAGGACTTCGGTTGTGCTCGTCAATTTGCAGCCAGAGGTGCAGTTTTGACTCTTTCGGGTCCAATACCTCAGCCTTTCTGATGCAGAGGAGGAGAGACTCCTAAACAAGCTGTGTTTGCCTTGGGTTATCCTATGGGTTGATATAGTTGGAGTGAGTATCACATTGCACATATGCTAGGTCTGTTATAGCAATGAAAGGCGATACTGTTTCCCTGCTTGGCCTTACAACGTTGCATTTGATAAAGGTGAAACCCTTTCAAGGATAACTTTTGCACGTGACTGCCAATTAAGCAGATTTATATATCTGGCTATCTAGATTAATAATATGAATATAATCTAAAAACAGGATATTATGGAACACCTGTCTGTAAAGTCCTGTTCGAACTACGGTATTTTTCCCTGAAAGGCGTTTATTTTATTTTTTTAAAATCAAACTGAATTATACCATGATACACGAAGCAGGTTCATACAGCCATTTTTGCAAACTTTCTAAATATGTCTCTGTCAAATCTTTAAATCAACAGATTGCATGTTAAAGAACAAACCACAGTCACACTTTTTTTCTGACTCAGCAGGAAGGAAAATGGCTTTAAATGAAAAAAAAAATCACCAACAAAGGCGATGATTCTCTGCTACAATAATAATAATCTGTACCAGACATACAGCTGGATAGGGCACACAGGGTTGGTTGGTTTGTTTTTGCAGCCCGGCCCATGACAATGCTGCTGGTCATTATGAACGGTTGCTTTATTCATTATAAAATGATGATTATTATTTACGAATGCATTATGATATGAGCAATATGCTGAACGTCCTTGCTGGAGTTTGCCCGAAGAAGCGCTGCGGGTAATAATAATCAATACCCCATGAGCCTTATTTTCCATCCTTGAAGCCCTGGCTGGAGTTTTGCCGAAGGAAGGACTTCAGAATGGTGATTGTCCTGCTTCTTCTGAGCCTGGTGGGAGCTGCGTCCAGCGAGCAGCAGAGTGTCAAAGCTCCCCCTGACTGGAGGAGGGGCGGGGGGGGGCACCACTGAGTATTTAGCCGGACCGGACATCCGCAGTGACGTCCCGCTTTTCTTCTTTCCCCCTTCCCCGGCTCCCTCCAGCCTGGGCGCCAGTGATTGACAGGGGGCCATTTAAATACAACCTGCCCCTACCCCACCCCCGCAGCGTGCGCGCGGCGGTGTTTCCCTGCCTGTGCCCAGGAGGCGCGGAAACCGCCCGAGCCTTTTGACAGACTCTGGGCAGCAGCAGCCGCTTCCCCGCCGCCGCTGCAGGCAGACGCACCAGGCTTCCAATGTGACATCACCCACCCCCGGAGCGGGGCCGCGCGCCTTTAAGGGAGCCACTTTCCCTGCTGCGAGCGGGAGGGGGAGGAAGAGAGGCGAGAAATCAATCAATAAATCACCGAGGGGGAAGCCGCTGCGGGACCAGCCGATTTCGCCCGGGAGCCGCGCCTGCTGGGGCCCGATCCGCCTGCTCTGCAGACGCCGAAGGGATCTTGCGCGCAGACCTCAAGGGAGCGCCCTGAAAACTTCCTCCCGTGGCCCCTTCGAGGCGGTGCAGCGATCTTGGCGGCGCATGGTGCCTGGCTGGATGGTGTGGTAGCGGGGGGAGCGTTTGGCGAGGCCAGGGGGTGGGGGAGGCTGCTGCATCGGTCTCCCCTATGGACGAGAACAGCCCTCTGTCTCCCAAGGCAAATGCTTTCAGTATCGCCTCTCTGATTTCAGTCGCCGCCGAGCACGCAGGGAAGGAAGCGCTGGAGGAGCCCAGCTGTGGCCTTAGCAAGCACTTCAGCCCCGGCTCCCAGCCGCAGAGGATGCATTTCAGCACCGTCACCAGAGACATGGAAGGTAAGTGCAGCCCGGACCTGAGCTTCGTTCACCTTGTGGCTGCTGGGGCAGTTGCAAATCCGAGCCCGGGAGCTAAGAAGTCAAAGCCCCACTAGAGCGCGAGGGGAAATGCATTCAAAACAAAAGGCGGGGTGGAGCAAATCTTGGGGATGCAGGATTTTAGGGGAATTACCTCTGAGCAGTTGTGCCGGGGTTTTGTTTTGAATGTAAGTGGGGAAATGTGTATTTTGCCGCTGATTTCCCTGCCATGGCTGCGTCAAAGCGTCAAAATATTAAAAAAAAAAATAATTGCAGCCGGTAAACGGAAATAAAAAACTGGTTATAGCAACTCCGGGCTACTTAAGAGACCAGCCCTGAGCTGTAGTGAGTAAATAATAGTACAACGTGAGGAAAAAGACAGTATTTCCGAGACAAAAAGAGGTGGAAGTGGCAGAGGCCTAGGAAGGCTTATCAAAGATCGGTGTTGTTTTTAATGACGTTTTGACTGCGAAGAGATTTAATCAGACAGCACAGCTTGGAACCTAAAGAGCGGGTTGTTCACGTCCCAAATCCGCAATTAAAACAATCCTGTGCTTATGTCAAAGCTCTTTAGAAAGATCTGGTCACCCTCGTCTTTTTAAAGGATTCTATTTCCTCCCCCACTTTATTGTAAACACAAAACTCTCCCTCAGTATCTTATCATTCTGTTATCCCGATCAGTGACAATTCTGTTGGTTTTACCCATATCCCTTGAGAGTAGTGGCTTTCGGCCTGTATTCCGCAGACCCCTGGGAGTCCGCAGACGATATCTAAGTTGTAAAAAGGGATCTGCAGCTCCATTCTAAATTGTGTAGGGATCAGCAAATGAAAAAGGGCTAAAAATCACCGATTTGCAGGGTACTGACGAGCACCCTCTAGGAATTCTCTTGCTTTTTCAAGTGCAGATGCAGAGTTGATTGGGCTTTTTTTAAAAAAACTCCTTCTCAAATATATGGGGGGGGGGGCTAGGGGAGGATAATAATCTAAGGGACAAACATCCAGAGAGACAAGAGTGTGTTGCCAGGAATATTTCAGTCCTGCCGCTTGTGCAAAGCGAATCAGATTGTATTCACAATTGTAGAACACAAATTCCAGCGGTTCCCGGGGACTAGGCGGTTGTTGTGCAGGCAGTCTGCTTTATTCCAATGCCTGTTTGCTGGGGGATAGAGCTCTCCTTGCACGGTGCGCGTGTAGATTGTTTGTTAGTGGAGGGTCCTGTGGGCGATGCCTATTTTTTTTTTGGCTCGGGAGTGAAAAATGGGTGTCAGGCGGGCTATTAAAAAGGCGCACTCCTCTGTCAATCAACTCGTCAGGGCTCCAGTCCCTAGGCGAGGAAAGGCCCATTACCTGCAGCGCCTTATCTAAATAGAAATAAGAACCGGTTCTGCGGCGAGGGGAGGCCCTCTGCACAGATAAGCCGGGCTCTGCAGCGCCTCGGCTCCTGGCAGCCTCGCCGCGCGAGCTCAGCCTGCCCGGGGGAGCCCAGCAGCTCCCAAAGGGGGGGAGGCGGGGCTGGGGCGAGGGAGGGCACCCCGGGGCGCGCAGTGAAGACGCGGGCGCGGCGGTGGCGGGCGCGCAGAGCAGGGGGAGCCGGGAGCCGGAGCCGAGCCCTGACCGCCTGTTTTTGGAATGATTTCAGCCATCTCCAGCCCCTGGCTCACCCAGCTGTCCCATTTTTGCGATGTTGCAGCTTTCACGGCCAACAGCCTGAGCAGCCTGAACGCCTCCGGCGGCTACCACCTCTCCCCTTCCCCGGGGGACCCCTACGGGCAGCCCGAGCCGCCGCACTACGAGCCCTGCTCGGCCCAGCAGCACCCGCACCAGCACGGCTACCCGTTCGGAGGCGGCCCGGGCTCGGGCCCCAACCCGCCGCCGCCCGGCCCGGAGCCACCCGAGAGCGGCGGCGGCGCGGCTGCTTCGGGCTGCTCCGCCGCGCCGGCGGCCAAAGCGCCCGTCAAGAAGAACCCCAAGGTGGCCAATGTCAGCGTGCAGCTGGAGATGAAGGCGCTGTGGGACGAGTTCAACCAGCTGGGCACCGAGATGATCGTCACCAAGGCCGGCAGGTCAGTGGCGCCTCCCCGCTCGCAGCGGCTGGGGCAGGCCCGGGGAGGGAGTTTTCAACCAGGTTCGTGCTGGGGGTGGAAGCCGTTTCCACCCCCCCTCCGCACGCACACAGCACCCCAGAGCCCGCAATCCCAGAGGGTGGCCCCCAAGGGTCCCTCTCCCGGTGCCCCGCTCAGCCCTGCACCCAGAGTTGTCAGCCCAGCGAACCCTGCCTCCACCCAATTCGCCTACCCTAGGGCTTCCTCGGCTTTTTTTATGATCGGTTTTACGAGCGCAGGAAAATACATTTTTACTGCGCGCTTAAAGCATCGTAACGTTTATAGCCCCGCCAGCGGGAAGTGTCCCGGTGTGATAACGAAATAACCGATAGCGCCCCGTGGGCTGCTCGTCGCTGCGCGGGTGCCTTGCTCGGGCCCTTTCTGCCGAGGGCTGCGGGGTTAGATCCCGACCAAATGAGCCGCTGTAGTTTTTCGGTCTCTGACTCATGCCTCGTACACGGCAGTGCTGAGTTTAATGTGGGGCTCCCGTTAGAGCCACCACCTTATGGGTTCGTGTGAAATGTTAGCGAGCAAATACCTCTCTGGGGAAGAAAACAGACTGTTTTTAAAAATCCCCTCTGTCGGGGTAATCACCTTGCTAGCCCCCAATACAGTCATTTGACGCCCGTGCTTCTTTAAGAGCAGAATCGACCATTTTCTTGTGGAGCGAAGGGTTTGGATGTTCTGCGAAAGTCCCGTACAGATACCTGAGTTAACAGCAGTGCATTAAAATGTACACAACTCCCCAGAAGATTCGAATAGGAAAGTTGTGTTGGGGGGGGGGGGGAGAGTTATGTAACACGTCGAAGACTGATTACTGTACTACGACAGTCAGTACCATTAACATCGTCTTTGACTCTCAAACGCGAGATTTAAAATCCGATGTATTTGCAGAGGACACTGTTCTTTACGAACAAGATTAGCAGGATCCGTTTAACACCCACCTCTGTTCAAACGCATTTCTGGGGCAGAAATGAATCCCCATTCGGATGTTTTAGAGCACGCGTGAAGAGATTACAGATAAGAAGCCACAGCAGCTCTATTTCACCTTCCAGTCCTTTCCACGTTTCCTTCTCTGGAATCCACAAATTACCAGCACTGAGAATATTAATTATGGGGCCCCACACAGCATCCTTTTCTCCGGTAAATCTCCCAGCTATTTCAGTGGGTAGCTTACCAGTTTGAGGAGAGCCGGATCGAACCCATCAATGTAAACCCTAGAAGGCAGCACACCCAGTTAGCATAAAGCTTCGTCGTCGAAATGAACAAAGGACGCGAACGTTTTATCGTGTGTAAAAAGGAAATCTCTATGCTACAGCTAATTCAACAGCTACCTGGGGGATGGGGGAGGCAGGATTATGACCCTGTCTGTTAATTAGACACCATTTAACTGTGATCTCAAGTGAAATAGCTAAACTGACCCTGAGTTGCATTGGTATTGGGCTGCTGTGAGCTCCTCGTTTTCTTATAGCATTTGAGCGTGAATAAAGAGGGTTCACGGACCTGACGTTCACTGCGATGTGTTCTCTTGTAAGACTTCCTAAAACCTTTCCCCGCTGGGGCTGTCTCTGCAAACACCTTTTAGTGTCACTCTTTTTGTGAGGCCTTTTGACGCTCTCTCTGCTGTTCAAGCGGTAACAAACACCCGGGTGGCTCGACTTTCGCCATCGGAGTTTGTACTTGTGGCTTTGATTATGTTGACTGACTCCCCCGGTCGTTAATAATGTTGTAGATCCTATCACTTAGTAATACCTTGATGAGCAGGTTAGCAAATGGCACCCCCTGTAACTTCATCTTGAAAAGGCTGCGGAATCCAGCAAATCATTCCCAGTGTCCTTCGAACTGTTGTCTGTGGTGAACAATACACCAGGAAAAGATTTCAGCATCTCTAACGCGCACAAGCCAGGCTGTTGCTTTCTATCCCAGAGACAGGCCTCTATTGATTTTAAGGGTTATGGAGGAGAGGGACAACATCAGTGTTTTCCAAACCTCGGTGCAGGAGCTTTGTAGAGCTCAGGCTCGCGTCACTGCTTTGGTACGGTGACAGTGCGGGGGTTGGTGGGGAGAATCCAAAAAATCCGAACCCCGGATGCTTGTTCTCATTTAGACAAAGCATTTCTCAGCCCAGCCCTGGGCCTTAAGCGCCAGGCCTTATACGGAGTATAGTCTCCTTCCTAGTCTTCGCGACTGGGCTCTGGATTTGACTAGTCCTTGCGACTGGAGATTTCTTCGCTCCGTGTTGCAGCCTCTACTATGTTGTCCAGGATTGTTCCTTTTATTTCCCTAAATGCTTTAGTGTCACCATTACCCGCCGTCACTGAATACAAATCGCATCTGAGTCTCTCTCGTTATTTTATTTTATTTTTTTAACGGAAAAGGCCATTTTAGCTAACAGCTGCGCCTTTCGGGAAAACAGGATTTTTTTTGTTAGCTCTGAAGTGTCCTTTTGATTTTACAGACGAGCGTGGGGTGGGTGAGACGGAGGGGGAAATCTGAACGGCTGCGTTATAAATAACTCGGCAACGACTCTGCAGGAGACTTTGTGAAATAACTCTGTATAGGTGCAGCGATGATATTAAAACAAAGAGTAGGTTTAAATGACGAAAGGGTTAATTGAACGAGCAAGGGATGTAAAACTGGTGGTAAAATAAAACATGCAAACAGATCGGAAAGGCAGATTGCTGCTTCCAGGTAGCCCCACTGCGCTCTATTAATGGTCTCATTTATTTTCACGGTTGCCTGTGTTGGCCTTAAGTGTTTTTTTAGCTGGGGTTTATCACGCTAAATTGTTTGTTTAAAGCTTCATTTAAAAAAAAGAAACACTGGAGTTAAGGTTAATAAGGGTTTAAATCTTTTAAATAGAGGACAGTTTAAATGTCCGCGTTGATTTGCTAAAACAAATCAGTAACGTATGAAAATATTATGCTTTCCTCGGGAGCTGGTATAACTTTAACAACAAAAAGCATCACCCATGGCTTCTTAACTAGCTTGCCACCTCCCGTTGGTTCCTGGAGCGCCCTGTGTTTTCATGGAGGCTTGTGTCGTTTTAGGTTGAATAAGCAACAGTAATTGTTGTTACAAAAACTCCGGGAACTTATGGGTTTGGAGCCGGGCTAAAATTTACTGGAGATAAACAAATGTGTAATAGAAATAACTTGCCTTTCCACCGCGTTCCAATGAAGTCAAGGGAAGCGGGCTAGGTTCCTTAGTCAACCTCCTTGCTAAATGTAGATTGTTTTACTTTTTCCCTGGAGCTTCAGTGTGGATAAATGTAAAGGCCGGTGGGTTAAAATGCCCTTGCACGCGCTTTCTGCAATACCCCACGCGCTGGTTGCTCGCCTTGCAAAACAAGCAAACCTAAAACAGAAGGAAAAGCAGACCAACGCTTTGGGGTAAACAGCCCCTCAGCATTGGCTCTAAATGGAACAAAGGCAATTGGCGCATTTGTTACCTGCTAGGGTTGGGGGGGGGTTGATATTCCATGTCACTAGCTCATCTGAGTTCACCTTTAACTCGCAGCCTTT